ACCTAACCCTAACCCTTAACCTAACCCTAACCCTTAACCTAACCCTAACCCTTAACCTAACCCTAACCCTAAAGCTAACCCTAAAGCTAACCCTTACCTTAAGTTGAATCGGCTTGCTTTCAAAGCGCTATTTAAAGCGCCCTTCTTTCTCCGCGCTCGCTGTTGTTGCCCTGTTGATGACGTCAGCGACGTGGTTTAATCGGGCACGCTTTAGTCGAGCGCGGTTTTGTCATGCCACGGTCATCCCCCCCCCATGTACATGAGGCCTACTTTTTCTGCCTCAAGGCAGGGGAAAATGAAGATGCCCCATGCGCCCGTACCATTTTACCTCAGGGCCCCTGCTGCCAGGCCACCCCATGCCCGACACGGGCACAGTGCTAGTAGCTCTGTCTAGCAGGAGGCCACATGGCCAGCAGCTCACAATGACTTCCTTGCAGCTGCAACAGAGCAGGAGGCCGAGCAACGCATCGGTGCCGCAGCCACAAGGTGGGCGGTTGGAGCTGCCTTGTGTGCCCCACACCATCTCACATCAGGGCCCCCGTAGCCAGGCCAGCCATGCCCTGACACGGCACAGCACCAGCAGCACCATCGAGCAGGAGTCCACGTGGGCTCCAGCCAGTGGTGGAATCCGGATCCTGTTGCAACCAGTACGATGCAACGGGGCCAGGGTCCACCACATGAACGGGCAAAGCATGCATACACATGCATGCTTACCGCCCGCGATGCTCCAGCTGCTCAGCAGAGCATCACGCAGGTGCCGTACGCTCCATGCACGTGCGCGTAAGCCCCGAAAACCTCAAATACCGGTAAGGAGCGCGGACAGGCGGGCCCTCCGGAGCACCATATTGGAATGGAACCTGGTGCTTCTGGCAGGCAATGGTACGCCCGTACCAGAGTGTACTTGTCACAACCCACAATTACCGCCAGCCTACTTCTACTTGCTTGCAGTTGTGGAGCAGGAGGCCGAGCAACGCACCGGTGCCACAGCCACAAGGTGGGGCGGGTGGAGCTTCCCCATGCGCCCCGCACCAGCTTACCTCAGGGCCCCCTCAGCCAGGTCATCCATGTCCAGACACCTGCCTTGCTCGTGGCCACAGCACCAGCACACCGCACGGCCTTGTGCTCTGTCGTGGCCTGTCCTGGACAAGTACTAGAAGTGGGCCGACGGCCATGTGGGCTCCTGCGGCACATGGCTGCTGGTGCTGCCTCCACAAGGCAGGTATTGGGGCATGGATGGCATGGCGGCAGGGCCCCCAACGTAGGCCAGTGCAGGGTGCATCAAGCAGCTCTGCACCACCCCACCTCACCTCGTGGCTGCACCCTTGTGAGTGACTGTGGCACCACGGGTAACCAGATGCAATGGGCACCTGGGCGGTTGTGCAGGCTCTTACGTAGGGCTTATTTGGGAGTGGGGCAGGGCTTATATTAGGAGCATGTGCAAAACACGCTAGGGCTTATTTTCGGGATAGATCTTATTTTCAGGAAAACAGGGTATATTACTTTCATTGGTTTGCTATTTCATGATAGGTAAAGATAAAGGTTCCCCTCGCACGTATGTGCTAGCCCTTCCCGACTCTAGGAGGCTGTGCTCATCTCCCTTTCAAAGCCGAAGAGCCAGCGCTGTCCGAAGACGTCTCCGTGGTCATGTGGCCGGCATGATTAAATGCCAAAGCCGCACAGAACGCTGTTCCCTTCCCACCAAAGGCGGTCGCTATTTTTCTACTTGCGTTTTTAACGTGCTTTCGAACTGCTAGTTTAACAGAAACTGGGACAAGTTACGGGAGCTCACTCTGTTACGCGGCGCTAGGGATTTGAACCGCTGAACTGCTGACCTTTCGATCGACAAGTTCAGTGTCTGAGCCACGGAGTCACCCCGTCCCTTTGGAACTCATCGTTAGCCGGTTAGCAGAAGCTGGGACAAGTAACGGGAGCTCGCTCTGTTATGCGGTGTCAGGGATTCGAACCGCCGAACTGCCGATGGACAACCTCAGAGTCTTGGCCACTGAGCCACCGCATTCCTGTTTTGTCGCGATAGCAGTGGTTTGTTTTTACAAATCAGTAGGAGGCAGGATTCTTTACTTGTTTAAGCCCTCTTCCTTTTCTTTTCTTTTTCCTTCTCTCCCTAGGCTGGAATGATCAAAGTTGGCGCAGACGAATTTTTCATTGAGCCCCTGGAGAAAGGCCAACAAATGGAGGAAGAGAGAGGAAGGCTTCACAAGGTGTATAGGAGGTCAGCACTTGCCCAGAGTTCAACCGATATTCTCCCTGATTTCCAAAGTAAAGGTATAGCTTCTCTCTACGAATCCCTCCTTTACCACCTCTTTCCTTCCTTTCTCCCAAGGTTCATTCCATCCAAAGGCAGTCCTCCACTTATGACCATTTGTTTACTGACCATTNGAGGACCCAGATTGTTGGGGGCAATATGCTGACTCTCTGTAAACCGCTTAGAGAGGCCTGAAAGGCCTATGAAGCGGTATATGTCTACTGCTACTACTACTACTACATCAATCTGAAACCTGAATTATTTTTGTTGGGGATTTTACCAGAAACTTACAGTAAAGAAAATGTATATTTGATAATTCGTGTAATAACTGCAGCTGCACAAAATTGGAAAACTGAAGAGATCCCTTTGGATGAGAATGCGATTAGGAAAACGTTAGAATGTGCAGAAATGAATAGGTTAACACTTGTAATCAAAGAGAAGGAACAAACTGATTATTATAATATATGGGAATTATTTTATCCATGGTTAGAGAATAAATCTGAAAAGGGGAATAAGCAGGGGAGTGAAAGAGAGAAAATGTTTTAATAAAGTTAAATAAGTTAGGAAAAGGATTGTTATGGTATTAGGTAAGGCGTTATTAATATTAAGTTAAGAATAGATAAAATAACAAATATGACTGTAAATTGTCATTGTTATTGTACTTGTACTTGCCCAAAATATTTGTACCCAGACGACACACTGTTTAATGAAAGAAAAAGTTTGAATTAAATAATAAAATATATTTTTTTGTAACTTGGTGACCACAATGTGGTGTCATGTGATATGATTATCTTTGCTAGCAGTGCTATATTGAGGTTGTGTCTCTCTCACATGTTTGTGTGTTTATATCCCATATTGATTAATGCACCAGGAATACCTTTAATTCGGTTCCAACTGGCCCCTGGCCCTGTCAAAAGATTACATTGTTGTTTTTTTGAGAAAGAAAATGCAATTCTTGGGCAGTATTTAGCGCCAAAACACTCCCCCCCCCCCCGGATTTATCTGCTTTTCAGATTTGCCAAGGAAGCTTTTAATGGAAGCTTATTCCGAACTGTATTTTCTTTGCCGTCTTTCGACATTCTTTTCTATCTTCCTTATGTGATTAATCAAGCAGCTGCCCAAAAAATATGAAGGCTCCTCACAATTGCACAATGCTTTTCTCCTACTATTGCTGGCTCACGTACAATTTGGAAAATAGCTTTTACAGGTGCCCCCCCCAAAATAAGACCTCCCTGGATAATAAGCCTAATTGGGCTTTTAAGCGCATGCCTTAAAATACCGCTCCCCCGACAATAAGCCCTCCCCGAAAATATTGCAACACAGCAGCAGCCACGAGGTGACCACGCTCGCCGCCTCCTGCACCCCAAAAATAATAAGGCCTCCCCGAAAATATTGCAACACAGCAGCAGCCACGAGGTGACCACGCTCGCCGCCTCCTGCACCCCAAAAATAATAAGGCCTCCCCGAAAATATTGCAACACAGCAGCAGCCACGAGGTGACCACGCTCGCCGCCTCCTGCACCCCAAAANTAGCGTTTACAGCGGGCTTCTGTCTCCGCGCTGGTGTCGCGCTGTTGATGACGTCAGCTACGTAGTTTCGTCGAGCGCGGTTTAGTCGAATGCGGTTTTGTGGTGGAACCACCTACAGTACACCAGAGGGCTGTCATCTCAACAAGTCAATCTCTTCCTCTGCAGTTCTAAACTCTTGCAGCCACCAACACCTTGTAGTCACCTCCAGATATGCTGGATTTATTTATTATCCTCATGCTCTATCCTCACTTGATCTTCTGCTATCCCAGGTTTCTTTCCATAAATAGTTGTGAATCCTCCCAGTCAATCTGCAGCATGACAACAGTTGTCGTCTGGATTCTAGTGGTCCTCAGTTTTCTCAGATTCTGCTTTTTATTCACCAATCCAGTGATTTTTTTCCTCTTTTCTCCTTCAGAATTCTGTTTTATACCACTTTTGCCTGTAGTCAAGTGTTTTCCATCTACCAATGAGTATGAGACTGAATTTCCCTATATAATAGGGAATCTCTGGAATCACTGGGCACTCGCTGGAATCTCTTCATTCCAGGGCTGGAATGAAGAGATTTAATAGACCAGTTGAGAGAGAGACTGTCAGAAGAAATATAGGAAAAATTCAGTAATCAAGACACTTCAGATGCCTTATCAGCATTAATCCAGGCCTGTTTTGGTAATGATGAAAGGCTAAAGGAATTACTACAGAATATGAGCATGAAGGTGACATGGCATTATTCCCTTTCACTCCGTTTATTTTTGTCTTGCATATCTAAGACATTATTGTTGAATCTACGGAGAAGCTAGCAGAATTCCAATACCCACTGATGATGTACACAAGGCCAATGTTTTTATTGTGGAGAACCTGATCACTTGATCTCTTCATAAATGGCCTGTTAATGCCCCCCTTTTGAAGCAACAATTAAATGGTGTACTTGTGGGACAGAGAACATAGAGCACAGAATAATATGGTTGGGAGAGACTTTGGAGGTTTTCTAGTCCAAACCTCTGCTCAAGGAGGAGACCCTATACCAGGGGTGGGTTCCTGCCAGTTCTAACCTCTTTTATAGAAGAGGTTCCACAAATCTACAGTGCTGTTTAGAACC